GAGGTCAGCTGAGGTCACGTGTTCAGGTGATGGACGGATGCTGTAAAAAAATGCCTCACTACGACGACCGGAAAATTTGATGTAGCGAAAACGAAGACGATGCTCGAGCGCGAAGCGGCCGACAACCACAAACAACGACGACGATTCTCACCACTGCCACCACCAACACTAAACACACGGCCTGCATGCCATGCTGTGCGCCGCTTTCGCTGACTGGCTGGCAGGCCTGACTGACTGACTGGCTGGCGGAAGAAGAATCAAATACGCACGGGCGACTCACGCCGTCGCTGCCGCTGCCGCCGTCGCCGCCTCTCTCACGTCGCCCGCTAGTCGCACGATCGCCGTTTGCTAGCCTACCTGCACATCAACCCTGTTGTCTACCGTATGTCATTAAAATACGGTATCAACGAAGACGCATACACAGTAATCGCGACGACGATAACGTCGCGTAATCAATCGATATGACGCGGCGACGGCGACATGAACCGAATGTTACTATGCGCTGTTCTTCTAATCGAGTTCCGACCGCCGCTGCAGCAGCAGCACTACTTCGTAAATAATACGAAAATGCAGGTCATTCACGACTTCGTCGAAAATCGAAACCGGATCTGGTGCCATTCGCCGCCGCTGCCGCCGCCGCGACCCCTGCGGAAGTGGACACGCGCCCCCTGCTGGCAGCACCTCGCGCCCAGCCACCATCTGCTTACTATGAACTATGGGCCGAACCAACCGACCGGTCGCCCCGGTTGCTCGCGCGCGAGGGGTGGTACTCTCGTCATTCTCTCTCTCCATCTGGCTTTACCGTTTACGGTAGTTGCAGCATATAGGACTACTGTATATTCCATTTCTTTACAACGGTTGATCCCTCATTTTTACGTTTATTACGAATACCGCATTCATCAACATTTGTTTCATGACCACAGCTTTTCTTCTGTTTATAAAATCTATCCTTCTGGCATCGCATATATGGCAATCTTTCGAAACTTCAAAATTATTCCATTCTTTTGATTGATGTTTTTTGCTCATTTAACAAAAGATGTAACTTATAATTGAGATGTCT